CCCCCCCCCAAATGATTTTGCAATTGCTAAAAAATCGAGAGGGGTGTTCAAGGACACAGGCTTCCCTCGGTCGAAGGAGGCCCAAGTCGTGGTAGTCTTTACCCAATACCGGTGGCTGACGGCTTTCTTTCATTAAGATTGCCTCAAGGATAATGCCTCAGAAGAGAGGGAGAGAAAGAGAGAGAGAGAGTCACCTTAGGTGAGACGAAAGGGACGACCCAAGACTGAAAGGGTCGTATCCGTGGTATGGTTTCTTGCTGTTCGACCACCAGCAAGAAACTCCGCTTAGGTGTATTCTTGTCCTACATTCGTATGTGCAACGATGGTTACCACATGTTGACGAAAATCAATTCTGCACGTTACTCAACCCATGAATACCCACGTTTCTTATTGTTCACTGTATATACCCTCTGGACTAGGAGTATTAGTTTTTGGTTGTGGGAAGGACACATCTCACCTGGAGATCCCGTTCCGCTTCCATGAGTTCCCAGTGCGCCGCGGACAGGTCGTCGACGCCCAGGTCCACCCCTCCCATTCGGGTCTGCGTGACCCCCCCTTGCCCTTGCCCGGTCGCCCAGCGGCCCGAGCCACTCTTTCTCCGGCCGGGAGTGCTGCTAAGGCTCGACACCAACACCACGCTGCTCAGGTCTACGCCGGCCGAGGTTGACGCCGGGAACACAAAGGGGTGGAAGGGGGAGGGGGTTTACGTGACAGGGGGAGGGGGGGGGTAAGTCGGCAACGTTAAGAACGTAATTAAAAACTTCTACGCCACTTGTTGGAAATCTTGATTCGATGGAGGGACATGGGGTGAGAGAACGCTGAACAGAGCGAAGGTGGTGTGTGTGTTGTGTGAGTTATCCCCGTGAAAGCCTGCCGCGCCGCGCACCTACGGTGTGGTATGATGATGCTGTCTTCGGATTCGACATGTACGCGGACAGCGACATTGGTCACGATCGAGGGCGGTGCGAACAACAGCAGGAGGCTGACCGTCGCGTTGGCCGCAAGTGAACCACACGGAGGCCAAGAAAACAGATAATTACCATATGATAGACGTGGACCGATCTACATGCAGTAAATCGGGTACGCAGAGCGGTGCGAATCACGGCGCCCATCCCTGCCGGCAAGAAAGAGCACCACCCCCTGCTTGCGTTACTGCTGCTGTTTCGAGTTAATATACCACGCTCCCTCGCAATAAGCATCGCCGGGATCGCTGAAGCCGTACGCCTGGCCAGCGGCGCTGGTGCTGCGCCGGTTACGCCGCCCACAACCATATTCGCGTTCCGCCGGCCGACCATACAACAGGACCCCTTTACCTTGCCCGTCCGGCCTACAGCCCCCCCCCCCCCCCCCCCCCCCCCCCCCCCCCCCCCCCCCCCCCCCCCCCCCCCCCCCCCCCCCCCCCCCCCCCCCCCCCCCCCCCCCCCCCCCC